AAGAAGACAGCTCTAAAAATGCTTTTCTAAAATATGATTGTCATGTCTTGGCTAAATGGAATTTTTCTTGAGGACCAAATTATAAAATGATAGAAACATTTTTTTTTCTTTTTTTGTGTTTTATTGAAATTATTACTTCACCCAATAGTTGAAACAGCACTTCTCCAAGCGTGGTTCATTGTCTATTTGCATTAGAAGTTCATGGGAATTAAAGAATTGGAAACTGTGGAAATGGGACCAGGGAATCCACATTTTTCGGTAAGTGGTTCTTCTCCAGAGGAAAGTTTAAGACTATTGTTTTGGATGTTAGAAGCTTCCCTACCTACTTTAAGATCACTAGTTATCTCAATTCATCCTTTTCCACTTAGGAATTTTGACCAGTAGCACCTGCAGTTGAGGGTGGCTGGGTCTACCCTCTGATCCCCTCCAGTGACTTGCCAGGACTGACACTGCTTCTGTGAGACTGTCATCAGATGGTGTGCACTAACAGGGCAACAGGGTGACTACGGCCACACAAGTGCTGGCTCTGAGGCTTGGCCCAGCACTCTGGAGGAACCCAGAAAACCTTGCGATGCACTTCCCATGACAGTGACATTTTAAGCTCAATGAAGCTACTTCAAGGATCAGGCGACAGCTCCTGGAGAAGGCATCTGATTGTCTCTTTCACTAACTCCATCTCTGCTGAGTTGAGGAGCAAGGAGCCAGGAGTTATTAGACAGGTGAGAATTCTGGTTTTGATGGCCAAGACCTGAAGCTTAGGTGACAGGATCTGGCTTGAGTTTGCCTGTTTCAACTCCGCCTCAGCTACATTTGAGAAACATGAATTCATCCTTCCCTTCCTCTCATAGGATATTATTTCCACTCAATTTAAGAGACGGGAAAAATCCCATCAAGATGCGTATACTGGGACTTGAATCCTTTCACTTTGAGTTACAGATGAACCATGCTTTCAGTTTTGTATGATTCCAAGTGATATCCTAACTTTCACGAATAATGATTGACATTACACACTCGGGGTATTTTCAAGTATATATCTGTCTTTGTCTCAAGAGTAATTTAAATGGAGCTAAAAAAGTGTGTGCCCAGGTTACTTTTGCAAAGGAACAGAGGCAGCACGAGGAAACGCCTTGAAGCGGAAGGCCAACAAACAAAATTGGCAAGTGAAGTGGGTTTCCCAACCCCCTGAAAACCATGGTGCATCCCAATAATGTTTACTTCCTCAACAGAAAGCAAGACATTTACTAATGATTTTACAGGGAAGGATGGGAAGCCCATCACTAAAAATACAAGGCTGACAGCTCCCAGCCCAGGGGCATAGGGGATCAGCAGCAAGAAAGGGGAGTGTGTTGGGAAGGAGGCAGGAAAGGAGACAGGCTGCTGGCTGTGCAGATGGCTCCACACAATCAAGACAGCTTTCTAACAGAAGTGTCTACTTACATTTCCGCCCCCAGCAGCATGTTTGATGTTATCCTTGGAACCACATCTGGACTGAACCTTGCTAAAATCGATCTTCTTGTTTAAAATGCTAACCTAAAAGGAATTGGAGGTAACTTCACTTTGCGTTTTTCTTTCAATATGCTGGGTAGAGGGAACCAGGATGGGTAGTGCCAAAAAGGCTCCGCACTCCCATCTACCTACATAGCCATTTAAGGGAAAAAACTATTATAACCCTGGAACTAAAGAGCAGATCTATCATACAAATCTGAGCCTCTGTGGCCCTCCACTCCCAAGGGCCAAATGCTTGAGAATTGAGATAGCCCAGCTGTAGGCAGGTGTAATCCAGAAACAATGAGAGGAACAGAAAAATAAAATTTGGATCATTGGTGAGGAGCAGGCTTCCACGATCATGGGCAACACTGGGACTCAGGTTCAGGTTCACTCTATGGAGGTTTCAGGAGTATAACTCAGTGTAGTTCAGCTCAGGATCCTGAAAGATAAGCCAGCACCCAGCCCCTTCTCCCCTTAATCCCGGCAGTGTCAGTCATCATAATTACAAATTACCTAGTACACTTGACTTAACTGTATTATTGGTCCACATACCCCAGATGAAGTTCACAATTGGTCTAGTGAATGCTACAGGTGAGGTTTCTCATTCTTTCAGGGGCAGAACCCCTAGTTTTCTAAGAGAGCCAACAATGAGGCTCTGAGCCTCCTCTGCTGAAAGGGCTGTACGATTCCCTTGCAGGTTTGGCTCAATGGCTTTCTGGAGGGCCTCTCTGACCACTGCTTATAAACAGCCATTACTCTTGGATGGTGAGTGTGGAAGCATTCTTTCCATTATTAGAGGGGAGGAAACCAAAGACCATTAGTTAGCTGACTTGTACTAGGTCATGTAGAGGTAGTCCAGAGCTTGCTTGGGTCCAACAGGTTTGAGAGTAGGGAAATATTTGATTTCTATTTTCAGGAAGTCCAGTATTCTTCCTGAAGACAAAAGCAAATCCACACAACAGAAAGTCGAGATCTGAAAAGACATTATTCTGGTGTAATGTAACGTGCAAAGTAATAACTCCTGTGACTTCTTTCATGTGTCTTTTGAATTCTGTATGTCTTGGAGGAAAGGTAAGCAATGTAAGCATGCAAAGAAAGGTTTATTTTTGTTGCTTGTTTGTTTGATTTTACTTTGTTTAATACTACTACTCTCCCCCCGACACACCCCCACTCTCCCCCTCACACACCCCTACTCTCCCAACAGCTGAAAAGAAATCGCATTTTCAGTGCTTTAGGGGACACTTTATCCATATATGTGTGTGTGTGTGTGTATATATATATATATATATATATATATATATATATATATATATATAATAAAAAGCCAAATAAATTTATCCTAGATATACAGCTGTACCCCCAAATATTATCACATCTCTTGGTCTTTGCAAAAAAGAATAAAAATTCAAGAGGACATGAATCCTGACTATTTTTAAGTAGACAAAGCTTAAATTGCAACGCCTGCCCAACACTGACAAGACAGCCGTCCCTTACAGGGAAATATCACTAACAACTCTCATTGGCAGCCCAAAGGAAGGGCCTCTTGTCAAAATCTAAATTCAAAAGACATGATGACTGGGCCATTCCTTGGGGCATAATAAACATTTCAACAAAAGGGGGGCTATCACAGAGTCTAAAGCTAACTATAAGTATAGTTGCACTCTAAGAGTTTCATGTAAACTACACATGCAGATACCTTTCAGTTGATAAGGGCCATTATGTTTCAAAGCACAAAGATAAATTAATTTTAGAAAGGAAATAATTTCAATTTATTATTTCTAACAATAATACTCTTATATAGTCTCCATGAAGACCTAATCATTTTGACAATGAAGTAGAATTCATCTAAGCCATTTTTTTAATTCTTGGGGATATAGAGTCTCATGCGAGTATTTTATTTACAAATTTTAAATTAGAGATCATTACAAATCACCAATCAAGTGACCCATGACCAAATAACCATAGCCAAATGTTAAATCTGATCCACTTTTTGCAAAAATGGAAATTCCAAATCCAGTTGTATGAATCTGACTCTAACATTTAATCAACTTTCAACAATTTTTATGATTTCCAATACAAATTATTCCAACCCAAAGGGATCACACACGCTGCCAGCATTATTTAGGGATAACTTGAACCTTAAAATCTTAAAACTTCAAGCCTGACTTCTGTTGATTTCCCCCAGATTTTCTAGACAGTCATCCATTTTCTAGTGAGACAACTCACTGGCCTTTTTCAATAGTAGACTTTCTCAACCTATGTCTTCCCAATCTATAATGTGAAATAGACCTTTGACATGCATTCATGGCACATTCTTTATACACTTCCATATTTGCAATAGCATCGCAGTATCTTGTTTTTGTCTAAAATGAGCCACAGTTTGACATTCACCAACCTGCTTGATTGTTGAGTAGATGAAAACAAACCCACTAGGGCAATGGATGCTTGATGCTCAGTATAATTCACCCGCTAGCTTGACACTTGCACTGAGCACTCGCCTAGGCTGTGTGACTCACATTTACACCTTAGAAAAATTACACCATTTCATGCCAAAGATCTCTAGGATCATTTACAAATAACTAACACCTCAGAGAGTTAATTCCACAAATACCAGCCATTCTCTCTCTCTCTCTCTCTCTCTCTCTCTCTCTCTCTCTCTCTCACACACACACACACACACACACACACACACACACACACAAATTATATAAAATGGAAAAATAGATGGCTGCTACGAAGGATAAAGCTTCATTCAAGATTAGTTTTTTATCAGAGCTGAGATTTACTCTCCGTGTTCTATGGATAGATCTAAATAAAGTTACTTTCTTTGGGAAGAGTTTACATTAAACTTTTGCTTTTCTAAAAGCATATGTCAAGTAAAAGTTATTTTAACATCTTAGAGACTGTCTAAAAATATATGTAACAAACTTCTATTTGGCCAATTACCTAATTTTCTATATTAATGGTATGAAAAAAAATATTTGAATAATCATTATCCAAGATTAACTCTACGACGCATTTTAATCTTTATCAATTTTTTTCAACCAAGGTTTCCGTGTACTATTAATGCACAATGGGGTGACCTGCAAGTGACAATCTTCCCTTCTGCATACTTCACAATGGGAGTGAAATGTATTATATCAATCAGCTGGATCACCTTCCTAAAACTCTGTCTTATTCAAAATTCTCCCAAACTCCTTATTTCCTATTAAATGCATCAAAACCTCTTAGCCATGCGACCAGGGTTCTCAGCAATTCTGATTTTTGAGCCCGCTCTTAATACTTTATATTTTGGGCCAGACTGTGTTACATTTCATACTTTAAGGGCCTTGTTTATATTTTCAAGTTCATCCCCATGCTTTCTTTATGTTATCAACTCTTGCTAGTTGAAGATAAACCATCCTTCAAGGGTCAGTCCCTCTACAGTGGGAGGCCAACAAAAAAGGATTTCAGTCGCATGGACAAACACTGGTGATTTACTTGCATACGTAGTTGACTTTTCATTCACATAAGGGTCATAGAAATACGAAGAGTTATAAAGAATAGGTTAATGTAATTGAATAATTAGAATTATTTTATTTTACTTTTTACTAATTCTATCTATTCATCCACCATGCTGGGGAAGAACAGTGCAATTACTTTCTAGGTAGTCCTGGTGTAACTCGTTTGATTTTATCATGATGGTTCAACTGAAATGATCAGCCATTTTACCCTTTCTGCATGTAAATTTAATTGCTCCTTTAGAGAAATTAACTTTTTTCCCCTCAGTGGGGTTATCCTAAAAAAGGACAGGAAGACAAAATGCGGGCTATGCCTGTAAGCAATAGTAAATCTCTCTTACTGGAGAGTAGAAATATGAAAAATGTAAAATAAAAGAAAATACAATCCTAAATTACAGCTTTTAGCAGAACAATTTCTAAACCAGAGGCATTAATCTGAATGTCAAGTTGAATTTCTTGAAAATGAGATTTTGATTTTTTTTTTTTTAATATTTAACACTTTTTTATGCTGCTTGCTTTATCAAAAGATCGCCATGTCAGTTCCAGGTAGTGAGATCTGGAGAGCAGCTGTAGTCCAAAAGCTTGGATTCTGTTCCTGGCTCTCCCACAGCCTAGCGCGAGGTAGGGTCTTCAGACATCCTCTGGGTAGGAACATCAATTGCAACATCATTTCTTTCTTGAACATTGTCATAGAGAAAACCTTTTTTTTTTTTGAAAGTATAGTGACTTCCATTTAGCTTTACAGGGGAGTAAGCTTTTCCTTTGGGTTTGCCTCATTTCTCAGGAGTGCTTAAAATGAAGCCTTCCTTTGTCCTTGCATTATAAAAACATTTTTCTCACTCTCCCAAAAGTGCTTCCCATTCTATAACACCCAATTTTAATAAAAAGTATTTATCTAGCCTCTATAGAGTCCTGAGGCATCACATATTAAAACAAAAACATGACTACATCAGATATTCCTGAGAACTGGAAGTTCTCTGTAACAAATGATGTTTTTCAAAAACTCATCTGCTAACAACCCTGTGCTCTGGTTAAAATGCATACAGGTGTACAAATTTTATGATCCATTCTGAATTTTAATTAACCCTGACTATAATAACCAATAACTTTTTCAAAACTAAGCATATGAAATAGAAACAATAAATACAGTTGGGTACACATTTAAATAGAAAAAATAGTTTATGTCAAAACATAAAATTCCAAAGAACTCTAAAATAAAAGGATAAAGTGGAGGGCCCATTAAGGTGTCCAATTTTCCTATGTAAGCTGTGTCACATAGCACAGAAAGTAGAACCATATTTAAAAACTTTGGGGTGAATAGATAATGCTGAAAATTTTGGAAAAAACTTTTTGGTAAAATAGACAACAAGTTCAGTCATTAGCCTCACTGTTAAATACTTTTTAAGTGATTTCTCAATGAATAGAACAGTCATGTGATTCATGAAAATTAACAGATAATAAGTTCATATGCTATAATTTCTTGACATTACATTTTTTTTAGTTTAAATTTTTAAGAAATTTTAAGGACTAGTGAACCAAGTT